GAAGGCTGGGGCTTTTTCAGGCAGTTCTTTCTTATCTCAGAATATTGCATTCCAAGCACATTCTGCAGTTATCTCAAAAGCTACAAGAAGAAACAAGGCAAGATTGGGTTAATCCAAGGCCACCTGGAGGGCAGCTGTCTTGAAATAGGAGGTGGCTAGCTGTGGGCTGCCTTGCGCCACTAGAAGTACCATGGGCATACACATGCACTGAATGACAAACAGGCATTCCATTAACCCAGGAATCTGATGGAGAGTCATAACTCCAATTTCACAATGTAAAACCTGTTCATTTTAATTAAGTGACCCCTTTGGTGGCAAGACAATACCGTCCAATTATTACTGAGTGAAACCAACTGTGTATGATTTTCCTGGGGATGAGCATGCCTTGCTCTTTGAAAATTAAACCAGTCTGTTTCATAGTACCAGTTGGGTTTATATCAATCTAAAGGGGGATTTCTAGCAAATATCACAGACCTGCAACATCTTGTTCTATTTTAATCAGTGCCTGGATGCAGACATTGCCAACAAGAAGAAAGTATGCTGGCGATACTGGGGGATATGATCAGAATCCAGATGCCTTTTTGAGAGGATTCGGTTTCCTTTAAAAGGAAGAAATTAAGCAAGGTCACCAGCAACCAGAATGACTGGATTTCAGAACTCCTCATCCGTTTCCTGGGTTAATGAATGTCAGTGCACCTGTAGGCCTCTGTGGCACAAAGCAGTTCAAGGCTGACCACCATCTATTGAGCTGCCAGCAAGATAGCTCAGTGGGTAAAGGCACTTACTGCCAAGTCTAATGACATGAATTTGATCCCTAGTACTCACATGGTACAAGTATCCTTCTACCTCCTCCTCTTGAAAATTGTCCTCTGACTTCCACACAGGCACCATGGTATCCACCTGGCACAGGTGCATGCAGTCATGCACAAATGCACAGAAATAAACAAACAAACAAACAAATGCATACATACATACATACATACATACATATATACATAAGTCGTGTGTATGTGAAAACCAGAAAAATTTTGTTTGCTACATTAGTGGTTTGCGATGGCCTCCAAAAGGCTCACTGCAATTTGATCTTAGGGCACAGGAACAGAAATGGTGTCAAGATGAGGGAATCTGCTGCATCTTGACATTCATTAGATCATGCCCAGAGGCCATGTTCGAATAAATTGGAATATATTCAGAGGTAAACAACAGGGTGATAAGGACCTTAAAGTAGCAGAGAATAGGGGGCAACCACAGAGCATAAAGGGAAGCTTCGGGTCCATAAATGCTGCCGTGAAATGCCTAACTCAAGATTGCTTGTCGGAATGTGTCATCAAGTTTACTTCACATCCTCAAAGTTATCCTCCAGAAACCTAAGGAGCACCTTTAAGCTCCCTCTCCCTCTCCATTGATTTTTGTCACCACCTCTGTGATAGATGCATATGAATACCATACTATGGCACCTAAGTCCTGTTTCAACCAGGCCCTGACCTCTGGTCCCTTTTCATGTCCTGCCAGTCTCCTCAGCTGGATGCTATTTTTCTATGAAATGGGCTCCTTTAGGCCTCTGTGCCATTCATTGTTCATGCCCTTCTGTCTTTTCTTCCTTTGTCTCATTCTTCCTTTAGGCAAGCCTAAAGATGTCATGAGGGTGTTATCCTCAAATTCTGTTTCTCCCTTCCATTTGCTAGACTGTATGTTGTCCTGGGTTTCCCAGATTCCTCTGCCATAGCCCTACCTGCTTCCCTGGCATCTTTATCCACAACATGAGCACAGTAGGTACCAAGTACACACTCCCAGAATATATCTTATCCATGTTTCTGGATGTATTGGCTTCCTCCAAGTCACTTATTGGCTATTTCCTTACTAGTTCTTCTGTCAGAATACTCAATAAACATACTAGATCCTTAGTCTGGAAAAACCTCCAAGGTGTTATTTTATGTTTGTTCATATGGATACCATGCACATGTGTCTATGAGTGCCAAGAAGTCAATACTTATGACTTTTGAGGCAGGGTCTCTCAGTAAATCTGGATCTCGTTGATTGGTCTCATCTGGCTGTCCAGTACATTCCATAATTCCCCCTGGTTCTGCCTCCTCCACAAATACAGACACATACTGCTACACTTTGCTTTTTATGTGGATTCTGAGGATCTGAACTCAGGTCCTCATGCTTGCATGGCAAGCACTTTGCCAGCTGAGCCCTCATGGTGGACCCCAATGTAGTATGTTTGCTCGTTTTCCAACCTCTATCACACAAGGTAAGTTCAGAGGCCAATGTACACTCCATCTGAACATTCTCAGCAGCGTTAGTTGCTCCCAATTGAGGCCATTTAAGTCACTGAAACTATTTTCCCTGGAAGGAGAGGGCTAATAACATAATCTCTAGGTTTTGGCACCTGAATCTACGCACCTCTCTCTTCTCCTCTCCCTCTCCCTCTCCCTCTCCCTCTCTCTCTCTCCTACAGTATGGAAATTAAGACTGCTCCCAGTGTTCATTTTATACAGGAGACATTTGGTGCAGAAGCTTATGGGATTCCCACATCCGTTATATGAGGGACTTTTAGGGTATTATCTCAGTCCCTCTTTGTTGCCTTTTTACTCTTTTCATGTGTGGTTAGTGCTATTAAAATAATGATCCAGACACTCATCCTGGTGGTTGACTCTATCTGGTCTGAAAGGACAAGCTTGGAGGAGAGAAAGCCACAAACTTGCACTGTGATGCACTCTAAAATTTGCCAAAAGATGTCAATATAGACTTAAAGCAGCAGAACGATGAGAGTGGGAGGGCTGTGAGCTAGGCACAAAGGGGACTTCATTATGAGGGTTAACTACCCCCTACTTCACCGCTGCCCAGGAGCCCCCATTACAATGTATGACTGCCAAAACTGGTTAAAAGGTTAATCCAAATGTGTCACTGGATTAAATACATTTCTTTTTTTTCCCCTAAAATCAGGGTAATTGCCACTAAAATCTTGCCTTGTGGTTTGCATAAAGGCTCCATAAATACCTTCTGAATGAACACAGGAATGACTGAAAAGCAAAAGTAAGAGTGGGAGGAGGGAATCCATGGATATAGTGGTTATCTGAATTCCTAAAGGATGCTGAGAAACAGAAACTGCTTACTACTCTGCAAAAATGGGTACTTGCAGAGATACATTTTAGTGGCATCGATGGTATTTCAGCAGTAACATCAGTTATGTTCTAGAATAGGTTCAGAGAGATAAATGGAGATACTCTTGACCCACGCTTCATTCCTACTCCCAGATTCTGTGCCTGATGATTGTTTATTCCATGAAAATGTATAAGGTGATTTAAAAAGATAAAAAATACCTTCCTGTGATATTTATAAGGCATTTGTGATATGATCAAGAGTTTTTCTGTGATGAGGTATGTCCCTAGCCCTGTCATCTCTCATACTTGAAATGGATCCTTAAATAAGCAGCTAAAGGACTGCAGAGATTCTGTTTTGAATCAGACACATAGACTAAAGTGCAAAGTTGGAACTTGTGGCACAACAATTATAGAAACACAACACAGAGTCTGCATTCTAGAAAACACTGTAAGTAGAGATACAAATAAGGAACTATAATTTTGTATGAAAAAGTCTAAGTATAGAAGTGTTATGGCAGTACAGGGCAAGAGGGAATGCCAGTAGGCTTGGCTTTCCACTTGAACTAGACTTGAAAGGAATATCATCCTCTAGTCAACAAAGATTGTTCTATGCAAATGAAATACCACTGGTACCACATGACAGAGGCATGCTAGAAGGCCATGAGTCTGAATTAGGAAAAACCTTGCCTTGTTCAATAGGCTAGATAGTTGACAAGGTCCTTTCTGGTTCCTTATCAGAGAACATACATAATTCCTTCAAATGAAAATGACAAAATTAGAAAAGTTGCAAGCCATTCCCCAAGTTTCCTTTAAGAAATATGAATTCTCAGTATTTATTGTTGTTTTCCTACCACAAACATACTCTCGAAATGACCTCATCCTTTATCTACATGAGAGTGTCAATTCATGTCTCACAAGAAGAACAATTGAGGGAGAACTTCTCTCTTTATGCCTAACCACACAGAAGTTGATGTATCTGGGGTGTGGGCCACAGTGTAGATGTATTATGTATGTGTTTGAGTGTATCAGCCAGTAAGTTCAAATATCTACTAGACTGCTGTTTATACAGAGAACTTTATTTGTAACTCAAAAGGAAATACAACCATACAGCAAAGCTTCTATAGTTGTTATATCTGTTTGTCTGTTCAGCGAATAAAGAAAAAGGATATATTGGAATCTGGGGATGGTACTGTGTAAGCAAAGACTGAAAGGAAAGTAGATGCTTGCAGCTACATGCCTATTTTAGTCCTTCACTAACCACTGTATTTATTTCTAGGGGCTCTGGAATGCTCTGCCTGTCTCTACATGGCATTTTCCCAACATATGAGCCATGATAGTCTGGCAATAACTAGAATAGAGAATATCATGCCAACAATTTTAATGTGATTTTTCTTTTCTTTTCGTAACATTACCAGATTAGACCATGTTATTGGAAAAATGTTATTCATAAGAAACATTGGCATTTTAGCTCCTTTATCAACTCCATTTCACCCTCATAATTCATTTGCTTCAATTGAATCTTCATTTTGTGATTGGTTTTATAAAAATTTAGGGTTTTACAGTATGAAATTAAATGGGTTGCATTCTGAGCCAATAATATCATTGGGAAGAAAACAAAGTAGCGAAAAACATGACAAGGTTGTTATCCAGAGTCTTTTTTGGATACAATGTCTACTGTGGATACAATGTCAGAAAATTAGATATCTGGTCAGACTAGCTGGATATAAAGAGGGGACAGCGACATAGTTCACAGGACAGATGCCACCACCAGATCCCTGTCATTCCTCTGTTGTCTTCTTTAGTGAACATGAACATCACCTATGCCACACACCTTTCTGACTGCACTTATGTCAGGCACACTTCTGACTGTTGTCCTTTATGCTTTATCCATAGGAACTTCCATTATATCACCATCCTCCGGGACCCAGTGTCACGGTACCTGAGTGAATGGAGACATGTCCAGAGAGGAGCAACATGGAAAGCATCCCTGCATGTCTGTGATGGAAGGCCCCCAACATCTGAAGAACTGCCCAGCTGCTACACCGGTGATGACTGGTCTGGATGCCCTCTCAAAGAGTTCATGGACTGTCCCTATAACCTGGCCAACAACCGCCAAGTTCGCATGCTATCTGACCTGACTCTAGTGGGATGCTACAACCTCTCTGTCATGCCTGAAAAGCAAAGAAACAAAGTCCTTCTGGAAAGTGCCAAATCCAATCTGAAGCACATGGCGTTCTTTGGCCTCACTGAGTTTCAGCGCAAGACCCAGTACCTGTTTGAGAAGACCTTCAACATGAACTTTATTTCGCCGTTTACCCAGTATAATACCACTAGGGCCTCTAGTGTTGAGATTAATGAGGAAATCCAAAAGCGTATTGAGGGACTGAATTTTCTGGATATGGAGTTATACAGCTATGCTAAAGACCTCTTTCTGCAAAGGTATCAGTTCATGAGGCAGAAAGAGCATCAGGATGCCAGGCGGAAGCGTCAGGAGCAACGCAAATTTCTGAAGGGAAGGTTCCTTCAGACCCATTTCCAGAGTCAGAGTCAGAGTCAGAGTCAGAGTCAGAGTCAGAGTCAGAGTCAGAGTCAGAGTCAGAGTCAGAGTCAGAGTCAGAGTCAGGGTCAGAGCCAGAGTCCAGGTCAGAATCTGAGTCAGAATCCCAATCCCAACCCAAATCAGAACCTGACTCAGAATCTGAGTCAGAATCTAACTCAGAGTTCAAATCCCAATTTGACCCAGAGGGAGAACCGGGCAAGTCAGAAGCAGGGCTCAGGCCAGGAGCAGAGTGATAGCACCAGCAATGGCACCAATGACTACATAGGGAGCGTAGAGACATGGCGCTAACTGGCTCTCAAAGGCTTGTGCACACTGCTTCCCAAAGCATCACCAAAAAGATGGCGTGTATCTTACAAGATGAAAATGTCCAAACACATCCTGCTTCCTTCATTTTGGAAGTTCAAAAAAAAAAAAAAAAGAAAAGTGTAGACGTTGCCTTTACAGTTGCCTTTTGATTCAGTGTTATACTGTGTGTGGGTAAAACAAATCTCAGTGTGTAATCGAATTGTCTGTTTTGGGATGAACTGCTTCTGAAATCCAAGAGCCAAACCAGACTCACCAGAAATTGCAGTTTAGATATTTTAAGAAGTTCTTAAATTAGGTATGGGAGACACAAAGAAAACATGAAATGTGGCCGTTTAAACTTATGGCTAAGAAACAGACTTTAAATGATTCCGGATACTCTGTTAAAACCCAATCTTGAAAGCACCCTCCTCCCGGCAGGGAAGCATAAGTAAAAACATGAACAGAGCTAAAAGACACTCAAAACCGTTCATTTCCTTGTTTTAACAAGGAGCCTATTTAAACAGAAAAACAACTGATGATAAATTTTGCCAAATTGTAGAAAGTAAACAATTTCTCACTTAAATGTAGGTGGGTTTATGTAAAAATAATGGCTTTTCAAATAGATCGGGATTCATGTCTTGTAATTTAACAGATGTTTAAAATTTAGAATTTTTCTACCTTCTGCTGATTAAAAGGTTTGAAACAGGGTATATCTCATATTAACAAAGCCTTTTTTTCCAAATGGAATAGCAATGGAAAGATCCAGTTTCCAGATGGTTTCTGGGCACTGTAATTTCAACAGTTTCAATCTTTTTGGCGCTGCTTCTCATTCACTTTAAGGCTTCTCCGAGTTGTGCTCATTCCAAATGAATCCATGTATAGAAATTTTCTTCATCATCTAAACAGCGTGTTGCTAAATCTCTTGTGGTATTTAATCCTGGACTAAAGTCAGGACTTTCTATAGAATTGTCTTATCAATGTCTGTGTAGTAAGGTCCTTTAAGAAGAACTCCCAAACAGGATAATGTGTCTCTTAATATTGCTGAAGTTATTCTTCTTCATCAGATTGAACTGAACCTGAATGTAAACCGTTTTATTTTGTTTATTGTAATGTTTCCAGTTTGGGTGGCTATTTCTAGCCCATGATTCTTTTCCTGTAGTGACAGATTTGTACACAATAATAAGAACAAAAATTTTCTCAAAGACAATGGTAGACTAATCATTGCGATAGCCAGAGGTACTCAGTAACACCAAAAGCTGCCTCTTGATAATTGAGGTTAACACTTCTACCAGGTTTTTGTTTGTGAAAGATCAAAACTGAAGAATGCTCTGCAGCAAAGCTAAGTGTCAGGGACATACAAGTTGAGAAGACGAGTTTTGTAGTTTCCATCTGTGAATAGTATTTTAATGGTTTCAATTACAAATTGAAGAAAGGAAGAATTACATACACAGTGTGTTGTATCATACTGCTTGGACGTTTACACCTCATGGTTGTTGCTACACTTCTGTAAGAACTTACATTAATTCCTTGGCTTTCGATCAAACAAGGTGGCTAGAAATGGTATTCATGTTTTCAAGATGGACATGCTTAGAAGTATGATCATAAAGTCACATCTGTCATAGTCTGCCCAAGTGCATGACCTGGTTTCATCTGTAATAATATGGCCACAAGGTAGACAAGAAGTTGAATATCTGTCTCTAAAGGAATTTTCTTGACTCCGAGCTTTGTGACAATATTTACAGCTTTTGTTTTGTGGTATTGCAGTGTTGAGAATGATGATACCTAATAAAAAAAACAAAACAGAAAAAAAAACAAAAAAAACAAGGAAAAAAGAAAAACAAAAAAAACTGGAAGGAATTTTTAAAAGCACATCTTGAAGTCAAAGTATTTTAGAATGAACTTATTTGGTGTACATTGTGTTCTTGAAATATTCTGTAGATCACTATGGTATTTCAGTAATTTTAGTTTTAATTGAGAATGATTGCTCTTAAAAACTGACAGTGTTGAAAAGCAGGACGAAGTCTGAGCCAGTGGAAAAGCTCATTACAGAAAAAACAAGTGTTCTTGCTGTGGTGTGCATGGTTTGCAGAGATTAAGTGCATTTTCTCTGTCTCTACTGATTACTGTATATAGAGAATGTTATAAATATACATTTTTGTCATCATCATGTAAATCCCACAATTTCATACTGTAAACATCTGTTCAGTGGTGTAGCTTTACAAACCGTTCACTGATTTTGTGTAATTTAACAATAGATGTGAAATAAAGTTTCAATTGCAGGCTGTGAGTAGTTTCATGATTTCAAGGTTTATAGTCACTAGACATTGTGATACCATAAACAAACCAGAACAGGAATATTTCTAAGACAGTGTTATTCTTTACACTTGACAGCTAAGTATGAAAGTGAGATGGCTCATTCTAATCCCTCACTCTGAAATGACCTTAATTTGGGATGCTTCTCCCTTGGAGGCCATGATTTGAATAAAACAAAATTGTTCGTGAAAGACAAGGTTTGCCATGCAAATGAAGTATACCCATGTTTTAATTTAAAGGTTATTATAGCAGATGTTTTCATATGCCATAGGATGCTAAAAGGAAAGATAGCACTTTTAATTGCCTGCCTCTTTTATCCACAAGACAAAGGTTAAATGTAAGCATTAATATTTTCGCCTTGACCACAATTTGCTCTAATTATATACATCATACACATTTTTTCCCTAAATCCTTAGGGTGAGGATTGTGGGTAATACCAACTCTTAAGCAGTAATCAGGAGACCAAACCTGGGGCATAGCTCAGTCGTAGAATGTTTAACATGGTTTCTCATCCTAGCACCACAGAAAAATGGTCACCAAAAGGAGTGAATTCCTGGGTCTTAGTGGGTCCCAGTTACTTCCTGTTTGGGGTGGGTGTTGCTGTCTCCTTACCTAAGATGCTGCCTGGGTTAGAGTTCCTGGGAGGCCCACTTCCTCTGGGTTTTGTGAGGTTGGGTGCAGTGCAGCCACCCGGGATCTTCTCAGTCCTTTATTTATATTTCAAATATTATCCCCTTTCCAGGACTCCCCTCCAGATAACCCCCTATTCTACTCCCCTTGCTTACTTCTATGAGTGTGTTTCTCCGCTCCCACCTTCCTGCCTTGGCATTCCCCTACACTGGGGTATCAAACCCCCTCAGGCCCAAGGGCCACTCCTCCCACTGATGTTCAACAAGGCCATCCTCTGCCACATATGCAGCCGGAGCCATGGGTCCCTCCATCTGTACTCATTAGTTGGTGGTTCAGCCCCCAGGAACTCCAAGGGGTTTGGCTAGTTGACACTGTTGCTCCCCCCACGGGGCTGCAAACCCCCTCAGCTCCTTCAGTCCCTTCTCCAACTCCTCCATCAGGGACCCATCACACAGTCCAATGGTTGGCTGCGAGCATTCGCCTCTGTATTTGTCAGGCTCTGGGAGAGCCTCTCAGGAGACAGCCATATCAGGCTCCTGTCAGCAAACACTTCCCAGGATCCACAATAGCTTCCACGTTTAAAGACTGTACTTGGGATGGATCCCCAGGTGGGGCAGTCTCTGGATGGCCTTTCCTTCAGTCCCTGCTCCACACTTTATCTCCATATTTCCAGTGGCATACTTCCTTCAGCAAGGCTACACCACCTATACCAATCCTAAATAATGCCACCAACTGGGGATCAAGGGTTCAAATGCAGGAAACTGTGAGGCACATTTGTATTTAAACCACAACATTTAGCAAACAAGGGACAGCCCCATTTTTCCTTTGAGAAATATCACTGAAGAGGAGGATATACTCACTGAAATGGAAAAAAGGTAGGTCTCCTATACAGAGCGTCAAGGCACTATGGAAATGATGTCTTGAGAAAATAGGCTATATGAGCCTTCAGCTAAAATGAAGAAATAACTAGTTGACCTAGTTCCCGGGGGCTTTAGATCCATGTGTATGGGTTACTTTCCCCATCACTGTGACCTCATAGATACAATTTAAAGGAGGAAGGATATACATGGACAGTTTAAGGCTACAGTCCATCATGGTGGCAGAGCTGTGAGGTTACTTGCTTACATCTTCACAACCAGGAAATGAAGGCTGGAACACAAAGGAAGGACCAGGCTATAAATCTCAAGATCCACCCTGACAGCTACTAACTTCCTCCTCCGCTGGGCCTCTCCTCTCAAATATCCCACAGTATCCAAAAACAACACCAGGAGCCAGAGACCAAGTGGCCTAACCTGAGTGTCTGAGGGACATTTCACATTTAAACTGACATAGCCCCTAGATTGATAGCACAACAGCATTGGGAGAGGGGTTGAAGAGAAGAGTGATTTCCTTTCATGGGGGTGAAAATAGGCAAAAGTACAGCCCCACAGGTTTGGGGCAAGAGAACCAGGGGAAACGTCTGGCTACCAAATGTGCATGCAACCCACTGCTTTCTGACATTGTCCTAATGACATGGCTCCCAACACTAGCATGCTGGGAAGGGGGAGTATAGTGTGTCAAGTGAGGCAGGACTGTCTGCCCTCTTGTCCTCAATGGGGGTTGAACTAAATGAAGACTGCTCGTAAAGTATGCTAACAAACAAAAACCAAGGATATGTCAACTCCCAATGCCACCACCAGGATCTTGGATTTCTGATTATTTACACAGGAAGGAGGAAATATCTTGACACTTCTCTCAAGGAATTTGACTAGAAGCACTAACGTGGCAGCATGCATCCCTCAGATCTTCACAGATGCTCAAAGGCCCAGGAACTTAAGGAGAAATTAAAGTGTTGTTGGAATGTAGCACAATCATTGCTTTGTTTGTTTTCTCTGGCTGCTTCTAATCTACAGCAGCAAGAGTCATTAAAACAAAGCTCAGGAGCCTGAAATATTTATTTGCTTGCCCTTTGGACAAGAAGTTGATTGACCCTAAAGGTACAGAGCAAGTCCAAATTCCCTATGTATTAAGAACAGAGCAGACTTTCCCAGAGTCCAAGGGGGTAGAGATGTGACTCAGATGGCATGCTTCCCAAGTGTATCACATCACAAGCTACGTTTATGGAATACACCAGCAGGAGTGACTCCTCAGGCATAAAAGTGAGGAGAGGCTGATTTTTTTACTCTGACAACCAAGGACACTGAAGCCAGATACTGTGTCAAGCGGTACGACCATACACTCAGGTTTTCAGTTGTATCAGATGCTTGCAAGATGTTCACCAGTTCTGAGGGAGGGGTGGATTAATTTGAACATGTGCTGGTAAGAACTAAACTACTTAAGTATGTGAAGTAAACATAAACATATGGATTTTGATAGACAATTTCATGGTTTATTTGAAATTACTTGTAAAAGCTCCACTCATCCAAAGGAACTGCAAGTCTCTTGATAGCGGCCACACTGAAGTCCATCTACTCTTCCACTCATCCAATCTAAGATTCTAAATCCAATCTCTTCTACTCTTCTCGTCTCCCCAGTCCTGTGTTCTCCTATCCTCTTTCTCTTTTCCTCTCTTCTTCTCTAGCTTGCACAACCCTAAATGATATTTATTTAAAAAGATATGATTTAGTTTGTTCCACTCTTAGTCAATTCTCCTCTCTTGAAGCTCACCCGTGTCTCATGGTTCTTTTCCATGGTTCTTTTCTTTCCCAACTAGAACTCTATAGTGAATGGTTTCCCCCCACCCTGCACACTGACTGCTACAGATGTTGTAGGCTGAGAACAAAGGTTTCAGCCACATACCGTCTAGCTTTGATCCAAAGCTCTCTCCAAATGCCAACTCTAATATCTGAGAAAATCATTCACCTCTCCAAGTTTCCACTTCCTTCTCTACCAATGGAGAAACCAATAGCCAACATTTGAGGAATTCCTGTGTGAGTCAAAATACCTGTCTCTCAGACATTTATGAGAGTGACAGAGGTGCAGGGAGCCCTGCTTATACTTGTCAGCAGGGTTAGTATTGTTACTCATAGCATGAAGTCTAAGTATCTGCCAAGTGCCTCTGTCTCCTGAGATCAAGAAATCCTGGACTGTGAAGCAGCCTGGCAGTATAGTTCTTATCTAGAATACACAGGGGCCTCATTTGGCCTTAGCTCGGGAATGAATGACTAGTTGAAATTAGAATAAAACACATACTATGTCCTATTGTGACTAATCTAAGACCAATTCTCTTGCTGGAAGTAGTGGTTTCTTGTGTTTTATAATGTATAAAACCTCAGATCTTCCCAGGATCTCAGCACTTGGAAGGCAGAGACATGAAGATTGCTAAAAGTTTAAGGCCAACATATGTAATATAGTGAGTGACAGCTCATCTTAAGCTAGAGAGTAAGATATGTTCTCAAGCCCCAAAACCTTTCTCAAGAATGTTATCTAAGCTTTGAATGTAGCCAGACACAAAACATTCCAGAATATCTTACCCACTAAATGCCAAGTGAATCACCCTCTCTCTAACAGTAAAAATGAATTCTCTGATAACCCTAATTGATTTGGGACCTACACTTTGGCAAGGGCAACTTGTAATTTCATTCCTTCCCCATTCATCTCTCCACCCAGTATCTCCAGAGGCCATGTTTATCTGATGAGGAGATTTGCCAGAGTTCCAAAGGTCTAGCTGCCTCTGTAACAAGTCTGGCCTGGTTCCTGGAATTCCTTTACTCCAAGACTCTATTCTGGGTGAAATGTATAAAATCAGGCATGGTACTAGTGCATGCCTACAATTCTAGCACTCAGAAAGTAGAGGCAGGATTATCAAAACTATCTTTTGCTACATAGATATTTTCAGGCCAGACTGGGCTGTGTATGAAACTCTCAAAAAATGGCTATGTACTATTGAAGAGGGAGAAGACACAATAACCATTTACTCACATATGTTAATTAATCAGGTTGGTAGTTACTATGAACTCTCAGGGAAGGTGACATAAGTCTTTAGTTTCAGATACCTCATCTCACTTTAAAAAGGAAAGGATATTTGCCTTTCTCTCATTTGCATCTTTACATTCCAGTGTTGTTGCTTTAAGGACAGCATAAGGCTCAATAATCTTTATCAAGTTTTCTTGTCGATTCTTAGTGTGTTTAGCTCAATCTTATGACTTCACTAATCTTGGTAAACTTTGATGATGCCCACCTAGATATAAGAAGCATTTAACAGATTTTGTGACTTAACGATGCTCTACTGAAATTTGTGTGACTTGGGAGGACCTGAGAGGGATTGTCTAGTCCTACAAGAGAGTGTGATACCATAGCATGATAGGACTTCACTACTCTCCAGGGCCAGTTTTAAATGACCTTTTAATGGTGGCTT